TTTAAAGGTTAAAACCTCATTTAATTTTATGTCTTACAGGGCTTATACTGAGTTCAATATTGTATAACTGTATTAATTCAGCTGTGAACTTAGATACTTAAAGCCACTCATGAAAGAGATGTACTCTTGCTCTGGAGTGTGTTACTGAATATGTTAAAGCTGTACTGAAATGCTTCTTCTAATCATATAGTTATTAAAAAAAAACTTTTTAAAGAATAAATTTAAATAAAAAAAAGAGGGTAAGCACTGTACACAGTGGAAAAGGAAGCCAATCATGGACAAATTGTTGGACAACATCAGAATTCCCTCATAGAGGAATGACCCTAATACTGCACAGCAGCCACACCTTGGTATCTCATCGAATGGTTGGGTCTGTTCTTCTGATCATGTTATTAATCTACTTGGAAAAAATCTGCAGCTTCCTATCACCTGCAAATAATGTGTGGTGACTCTAAAAGTGACACCCAGAGCCCTCCAGTTGGCTCATCTTTCAAACTCTTGGTCTTTGTTCTCCTACACACTCTCAGGTCCAGCAACAAACTGTGGTAAATGCCAGCCCAGACTTCCTCCTGCTGTCAGGCTAATCCTTCCTGCTCTCCAGCTGACGTTGACCCACTTAAGTCTTATAGGCTCCTTCAAGACTATCTTCTACCCTAGAATCTTCTCCAAATCTCCATAAAACTTCATAGGGATCTTTCTGAGAAACTTAAAGTTGTATGTGCTGTGTCGTAAATATTTGTAGCTATGTACAACTTTTCTCATGAGATTATAAACTTCTTAAAACCAAGAATTAGTCAATGAAGTATTTTTTGGGTGTCTACTGTGGTACCAGGCACTGTTCTAACTACTGGAGTCTACATGATACACAAAGAAGTCACGATACTTGTTCCTATCACACCTATGAGTAGCTCAGGCTAATAATGACAAAGATGCAGGAAGTTGATACAGTAATTCCAAAGAGTAATAATGAATGCTTCAGGTAAATAAAATCAAGATGAAATCACAGTCTATGAGAGGTGTCATGGAAGTGGCATTTGAGGGGACAAAAACAATACAAGATGCTAGCAGCCATGCATAGTCTAGCAACAGAACCATCAGGAAGTACAGCTGCAAAGGCCTACGGCCAAGAACTTTTTGGTATGTCCGAGGGTCACAAAGGTCTATGACACTGAGGCAGAATGATGGAGGGTTAGGAAATAGTGATGAGGGTCCAAGAGAACAGGCCCTACAGCGTGGGAAGAGCTTGTATTGTATTCTAGGAGCAAGAGGTCACCATGGAGGCCTTTTAGCAAGTCATAATGAAACATGTGTCTATAAAGAACACTCTAGAGCTCCTGGGAAGAGAGACTACAAGGGAGCTCCAAGGAAACCTGTACTTAAACACTGAAACAAATGAGATTTTAAATTCTTACTAAATGGAAGGCTGGGTTAAGACAATTTCTAACACTATATTTCTCCAATCCCCCGGTGCCTAGCTCCCACTCCGCAAACAGGAGATGCCTCAAACATTAGTCAAGTAAGAGCACTCATATTTAAAGTCTTAAAACATTTTTTTCAAAAGTGAGTCCCTTCCTTTAAAAAAAAAGTTCAGTATGCCAAACTAGAGATACTGGGGTGGACAGAAAGCACTGTGAGGCATGTCCTGGGGCCTACTGGTCATGCTTCAGCTATGACCAGCATGCCTTAACTGTGGCAATGCAGGTTCTATCAGGTTTCTCAGTAAAGAGATCAAGAAATTCATTCTAGATTAATCAAACACAGTCGAGGGAACTATTTTTAAAAAGAAAACATTGTTACACACAGTAGTAACTTTGAATAGCAGAGTCCTACTATGAAATTCTAACGTTTGGGGTAGATTGTTAATCAAGTCACAGACTACAAAGCAGAGAAATTACTAGAAGCTAGGCATGAAATGACTTAGCCTATAATCAAGTGTTAATCTCATATCCTAATACCCGTGTTAAGAGGATTTCTCTGAAGCTACTTAATAATATAAATCACCCGCCAAGTCTATTCACTGGATCTCAAATATCACTAATAATGACCTTTTAAGGAATATGGTCTTCAGAATTTGTACTGCCTATAGACTAAATTTATCCATAAATATTTTTAAAAGTGTATGTGCACACAATTTGTAAATAAAATTAATTTTCTATCGCATAAAGAATCTTGATCATTGTAATTACTTCTATCTGCCCATACTTCACTTCTAATTTTATTTATGCTATGAGATTATCCATGTTACCACAACAGGAAAAGGCAAGGATCAAATTGATTAAAGAACTTAACAGGATAATCCAAAGGAAAAAAATTTCATAGACTTGGATTTAGAAACTTATTTAGCCTTCTGCTTTCTAAACTGTAAAAACTACCTCCACCTGAGGTCCTATTTGTCTTTAAGCACTGGAAAACCCACATAAGGAAAAGGCCAAGAAATCAAAAAATGAGGGAGGAAAAAGATTGGGAACGATGTCTGACAGGGAGGCATCAAAGACCTCAAAATGGTCCCCACTGGCACAAGAAATCAATGTGAGTAGATGGGTCAGAAAGTAAATGATCTTTTAACATACAAATAGAAAAACTTGGTTAAACCACAGAAGAAATAAACAATTTCAAAATACCATCACTGAGTCAGGCCTGTTGGTGCAGATCTATAATCCCATCTACTTGGGGGGCTGAGGCAAGAGGCCTATCCAGGCTACAGAATGAGTTTAAGGCCAGCCTAAGTAACTTAATAAGTCAGTCTCTCTCTCTCTCTCTCTCTCTCTCTCTCTCTCTCTCTCT